GGAGTACAGTGAGAACCTGGTGGAGAGCGGCGTGAACGGGGCCATCATGGTTCTGGAGCCGTCCTTCACCCCCGACACCTTGTCCTCCGCGCTCGGGATCCCCCCGTCCAAGTCCTACATCCGGCGCCACCTGGCCACAGAGCTGGAGAGCGTCCTCAAGCCTGCCAGGTAGGCTACCCAAACTCGCCGTGTCACTCAGTTACAATCTTTGAAGGTTACTCTCGGGATAACGGTTGTTGTATTCTTGCGATAAGTATCTTGGGAATGTGTGGCCAGACCATAAGGTTAATACTGGTGTCCAGTCGAGAACAAGGAAGAAGAATTGGTGTCCAGTGAAAGTCTCTCTTTCAGCTCTAGGACGCAGACAAGTGTACGTGGGTGGTTTGCGGGCGCTACAGTGTGGTTTACTCCTTCTTTCCTAAAAAAAATCTATCTCCCCTCCTTCTTTTTTGTGTTTGTTACTCTCTTGTAACACGCCTAATCTTCGGCATTTAAATGACCTTATTGTGTTACAAGTGCTGTAAAACTCTTACTAAAACTAAAACTAAAAAGGAGGTTACTCTCAGGATAATGGTTATCGTATTCATGCGATAAGCATCTTGGGAATGTGTGGCCAGGCTATAAGGTAAATACTGGTGTCCAGTGAAAGTCTCTCTTTCAGCTCCGGGACACAGACAAGTGTATGTGGGTGGTCTGCAAGTGTTCTGGTGTGGTTTGCTCCTTCTTTCATATAAAAAATCTATCGTCTTTATCTCCCCTACTTTTTTTTTGTGTTTGTTACTCTCTTGTAACACGTCTAATCTTCGGCTCTTATATGACCTTATTGTGTTGCAAGTGCCGTAAAACTCTTACTAAAACTTAAACTAAAAGGGAGGTTGCTCTCGGGATAACGATTATCTTATTCATGCGATAAGTATCTTGGGAATGTGCGGCCAGACTATAAAGTAAATACTGGTTTCCAGTGAAAGTCTCTCTTTCAGCTCCAGGACACAAACAAGTGTACGTGGATGGTTGGCGGGTGCCCTGGTGTGGTTTGCTCCTTCTTTCCTATCGAACACCCATCGTTGTTACAAGTGTACGTGGGTGGTTGGCGGGTGCCCTAGTGTGGTTTGCTCCTTTTTTCCTAACAAACACCCATCGGTGTTATCTCCCTTACTTCTTTTGCCCGTATGTTATTTTCTAGTAGTAACACCTCTTACACTCGGCACTTATAATATGACATAATTGTGTTGCAAGTGCCGTAAAACTCCTACTAAAACTATAAAACTAAATAAGTGTATTGCAGAAATTATTGGTATGACCTATTTAATGTTTCTCCAAGCCTTACTGTCTACTTTTTTTCTTTTCTTTTCTTCCTATGTTGGCGTTAAGTGTCGAGTCTGTATCGCAAAAGTCGTAGTCGTAGATGTTAAACAGAGAGACAATCCGAATCACCCGAGTGGATGGGTCATCAGATTAATTCTTGTTTCGAACAACTTGAACACGTGTTGTGGCTCACCACTTGAATAGGTCGACCGATGCTCTTTCCTGATAAGGACCTATAATGATGACAATGTTATGGAATGCAATTATGTATAGCTCATTT